TTATTCACGTAATCGAAATATCTAGTGGGCAGGCGGCTAACAGCCCAGAACCGGTCCTTGACAGAGTTGTAATCTTATATGTGTGCAGCTTTCACCCAAGGTCGTAGGCTTCCACCGGCTACACCGGGTGAGGTTGGTGTTCTGTAAAGCGCATGCGCAAATCTTGCTTTTCGTAATCTGAAAATACAGGAGATTACACTCCGTCACTAATATTCTAATATACAATAGCAATTTTTTTTTGTTTTTTTCCACGTGTAGTATAGAAAATTATAATAAGTTACATAATGCGGTTATAATAAAATATTGTGCGATTATTTTCATATAATTAAAATTAATATTTATTTTTTTTTTTGAGAATACGAGGGAAGCGGCGCTTCCAACGCTTCTAATGACGGCACGCCACTGGATTATAATAATCCATACTGGATTACTGTATTTCGATACACTTTGCATTCTAGACACATTAACACATTATTAAAAGAAATATATCTAAACTTTCCAAACTTCTTAATGAAAAGTAATTTACTATACGTAATCTATATTGACGCAAAGAAATAAATCATTTTACTTTATGTTAATAGAGTAATGTTCAGATTGTTGAAGCGTGTCTTTACTACAGATGTTTAAGTTGTTATTTTAAACAAGAGAGGGTTCTTTTTTCAAAACAACTCATATTTGATAGACAAGAGCATAGTGTATATCTATGTATGTATGTCTCTTTAATCCGAAATTAAGTTCGGTAGACTATCATTACAACTTTCAGGTTAGACACTTCTTTTAAATAGTAATCAGGCAACTTAATGGATTGCGATTTGAAAATAAAGAAAATTCAAAGTTTTCGTTTGAAATAAAAATTTTTCATTGTTAAAGAAAAAATTTCTTGATTTCGAGTCCATTAAACAGAGCATACAGTAATTACAGTCGACCCCCTATAACGCGGTAGATACAGGCAGGCCTCCTACAACGCGGTAGATACGCCGTTGTGGGAAATCGCGTTATAGGAGACACCAACTTAATACAAAAACTGGGATTGGGTTCTAAAAAGAGAACAACTTGGCGTTTGAATGGCGTTTTTTGAATTTTTCAAACCAGCCATTGCTAGCCACGAATTTAACACTGGTTTCATCAGCCGACGACTGTCCCATTTGTTTTAAATAATCAAATATTTTTAAGGCTTTGTGGTTTAACTGCACTTTTATTTAAAGGCAACCGTTTCTTGTTCGTATCTTCTACCCATAATATTAGCGCTTGCTCCATTTTTGTTTTTTTTTCATTATAGGTGCTGTCGGACGAGCAACATTTTTCGCATGAATAGATGATTCGGATGCGACTGAATTCCTAATCTTTTCTTCCTATTGCTTAACCGACCGAATAGCTGACTCATTTAAATTAAAATGCCTACCAATATCAGCTATCCGCTCTTGATTTTTAATTCGATCCAAAATTTCTATCTTTGTTTGAAGAGATATATTAATAAATTTCCTTTCTAACGACGGTGCTTTCTTTTCATTCGATATTGTTATGGCTAAAATTTTTTAAAGCAGTTTTGTGGACAGTAAAAATCGCAAAAAATAACTTCCCTTCACTATGTTGTTAAAAATATACACCCAATAGAAGTTTATACTGTATTTTGGAACATTTTTGCGGTCCCCATCTATTGAAAGACTATAAATTATCGAAAATTCAGTGATATGTTTGAGTGTTTATGGTAACTGATGCACATCTGTCTAGAAACCGGTCTTTTCTTGAAACTTTCATGGGAATAACACGTCAACGTGGACAAACAGCTGTTTTCCA